TCCTTCCATCTTCTTCCTCTTTGTCCACATGAGAGGTCATATAAAATAAAACATTTCCTAAATATGTGCCTCTTGCTTCCAACTCCACATTTTTTGGCCGTGAGATTAATTTATCATTTTGGGAGCCAATTATTCTCCGTTCAGCTAATCCAGATTATAATAAACCCTTTTAAAGTGCCTGTTGGCGTGAGGGCTGCGACCTTTTAATCGGTTTAGCTTGAATCAAAGGCAGGAATCGTGGCCAATTTCGGAGTGAGTGACAAGAAGGCGGAGGGTGGACATGCCTGGCAAAACCGCCGACGGCTGGCAGAGTTATATTTAACTTCCTCCCGCAGGAAAAAAGCGATTCCAAGGGGGAAGATTATTACAAAACGAATGAATCACATTCCTGAGCGCAGAGACCCATCCGCCAAGAAAAAGGCAGATTTAATCGTAAGCTTTAATTGACCCACACAGAGTCGATAAGAACAGCTTTGGAAGAAAGTCGGAAACAGAAAATGCGTGCTCGCTCCCCTTTTCCATCTATCTAGACACATAATAAAAATGAAAATATGTATGTGTGTATGTGTTTCCTCCACCACAGACTTCCCAGTGTTCCCATGTCCCATGCCCAATTCTTGTATTAATATCTTAAAGAAATCCCAATTTAGGTTATCAAAAGCCTTCTCTGTGTCCAAGGCTAGTATGGCAAATTCTTTTTGATGATTCTGTTCATAATATTCTATTAGATCCAATACTAGCCTTATGTTCCTGACTCTCTCCATTGGTGTGGAATTTGCATGACCCCTGCCCACTGCCTCTCCCATAACCCTTTCCTATTCTTTTCTATGGCACACAGCAAACAATTTCATCCTAGAATGTATGTGTTTCCTCCACCACAGACATCCCAGTGTTCCTAACTCTCTCCATTGGTGTGGAATTTGCATSACCCCCGCCCACTGCCTCTCCCATAACCCTTTCCTATTCTTATCTATGGCACACAGCAAACCATTTCATCCTAGATTGTATGTGTATGCTCCACCACAGACATCCCAGTGTTCCTGACTCCCTCCATTGGTGTGGAATTTGCATGACCCCCGCCCACTGCCTCTCCCATAACCCTTTCCTATTATTTTCTATGGCACACAGCAAACCATTTCATCTTAGAATGTATGTGTWTCCTCCACCACAGACATCCCAGTGTTCCTGACTCTCTCCATTGGTGTGGAATTTGCATSACCCCCGCCCACTGCCTCTCCCATAACCCTTTCCTATTCTTGTCTATGGCATACTAGAGATGCTTGGGGAGAATCCACCATCAGTTATAGGAAGCTGTTCCTTCACCGACCATTTGTGGCACTGATGAAGTACTTCCTCATTCTTTGCATGCTTGCTGGAGATATTTATGGCCTCGTAAATTAGTTAAAGTTGCTTCCCCGCATAAGCGGTGTAACCAAGATTCTACCAATTTGTAAAGATTTCACCAATTTGTGAAGAAGCCACCAGTTTGTAATGGTTTTGTAAAGGACCACCACTTTGTAAGGGGTTATTAAATTGATAGCTAGTAATATTGCGTTGGTCTTCCTTCAAGGTGTAGCGTGACTTAACTTGGAAAGGATTTATAACAGAGACCGGGCTTTATAAGAAACTGTAACAAGTGTATTGAAATGTAGCTGAAGCTTGATGGTTTCAATGTTTCTTTACTCTTAGAGGCACGTATCTTCAGAGGTTACATTTATAACATTCTTTAAAACAACTCTGGAAAGGACTCTTCCTTCTACTAAACAGGTTTCAAACTTATTTTTCTTCAAACTGTGTTTCTTTCCTTAATAGATTACTTCAGATACAAGCTTATTCTTTCTTTGTGATATTTCTGTTGCAATAAAGATTCTCACTGGGTTTCTCTCACCCTTTCTACTCATACACTAACTACTAATATAAATAAGTCAGCTTGACTTATCTAAACTACCTAGGCTGAAAGCCAAAACCTTCCTGATTCTCACTACAGTAGAATCAGCCTTTCCTTGTAGTTTTTAAACTACAGACTACCTTCCGAAACTGTAACAAGTTTATTGAAATGTAGCTGAGCTTGATAGTTTCAATGTTTCTTGACTCTTAGAGGCATGTATCTTCAGAGGTTACATTTATAACATTCTTTAAAGCAACTCTCGAAAGGACTCTTCCTTCTACTAAACAGGTTTCAAACTTACTTTTCTTCAAACTGTGTTTCTTTCCTTAATAGATTACTTCAGATACAAGCTTATTCTTTCTTTGTGATATTTCTGTTGCAATAAAGATTCTCACT